GTTGGCATTGCTAAAAATGAATACCAATAAAGATAACAGGGTAAGTCTAAACAATTCCTTTCTTTTAATTATGCTGATCAGATTGACGAGATGGGTTTGATTCAGCACCCGCCATGGATCCTCAAGTGCATTCAACTTTATGAGACGCAGCGCGTCCGCCATGGTATGATGACATTAGGCCCTTCAGGTGCCGGAAAGACTAAGTGCATTAATGCATTAATGCGTGCCATGAGTGAAGTTGAAGAGCCTCATCGTGAGATGCGCATGAACCCAAAAGCGATTACAGCGCCTCAGATGTTCGGTCGCCTTGATGTGGCTACCAATGACTGGACGGACGGTATCTTCTCAACGCTCTGGCGACGAACTCATAAGGCGAAAAAAGGCGAGCATATCTGGTTGATTTTAGATGGCCCAGTGGATGCTATATGGATTGAGAACCTCAATTCCGTACTGGATGATAACAAGACATTAACTCTAGCCAACGGTGATCGAATCCCGATGGCGCCAAACAGCAAGATCGTCTTCGAGGTGCACAATATTGACAATGCTTCTCCAGCCACGGTTTCGCGCAACGGCATGGTGTTTATGTCTAGCTCTATACTGGATTGGAAACCAATTCTGATGGGTAAAATTCATACATATTTTCATCTCGTTTAGATTGATAAACCGAGCTAAATCTAATATGAGATGTATTCACCCAATTTCGTTTAAAGTGATGAAGGACTGGTAGAAGAAGCATTTTCCCACAATGATATGAGTTGAGCTGACGTTTCCATTGAATTTCACATAGACTTGCTTTTCCAAAAGTTGTTCTCCTCCAGAGCGGACTGCAGTTTTGACCTCGCATCGGTATTATCAACACCTTCATCAACAATCCCACCAAAGAATATTATATGGCAAAAAAGCCTAGCCTTCCTTGAAAATTCACATTCGCCCTGTGACCCAAAATGCGCTCGTGGCAGTTTAGTCAAATGGAGAGCGTGTCAAGCTCCCATCGTGCACTTTCGCGGTTCGACTCCCGCTGAGGGTGTTGATAAGACCGATGTGAGGTCAAAACTGCAGTCCACCCTGGATGAGAACAACTTTTGGGAAAGCA